TTGTGTATGTAATTCATACAGTAGCTGTTTTTTTGTTTTTTGTTTTTTTGTCTGGCTTCTTTCACTTAAAATTTTGGTGAGATTTATTCATGTATAGCTGAGGTCTGTTTGCTCTCATTGCACTTATTATTTATATATCCTACTACTGATGAAACATTGGGTCGGTTCCAGTTTTGTTTTTCTTTTTGGCTAATAAGAATAGTGAGGCTAGGAGTGGGTGAAATAGGTGAAACAAACTGAGATGTACAAACCTCTAGTTATATAATAAGTAGGTCATGGGAATGTAATATACAGCATGAGGAACATGGTCAAGAGTAGTGTAATAACGCTACGTGGGGACAGGTGGGCTACTAGACTTACCATGGTGATCATTTCGTTATGTTTGCAAATGTCAGATCATTATGTAGTACACTTGAACATAATCTTGTACATTAACTATAGTTCAGTATAAAAAAAAGGATAGCAGGGCTACGCATATTCTTGTGCGTGTCTTTTGGGGTACATGAACAGGCATTTTTTTCTCCCTATACTTTTCCTTCCCCAGGTTGTGCCTAGGAAATCCAGTGCTTTAACAAATTAGAATTTCACACATTTAGGTGCTTCTGAGGTTTCTGAGGAAGGAGTAGAAGATGACGACGATGAAGAGTTCGATTGGGAAGTTGAACAGTCCCCCTATGAAGAGGTACCGGAGAGTGCTTTGGATCCGGAGTGCCGCTATGGTTTTGGGAACTTACGATCGGGAGTGTTTCAGCGGTTGCAGGTATGTTTTTCTAAAAGACCTTAGTGTATAGGGTTTTACCATTTGCATATTTTAATTTCAGTTCTGCTCATACTTGGAGGTTTTTTATAATGATTGTAGAAGGTGATGTATTTAGAGCACAAAGCTCAGCTCCTGGGATATAGTCATTACACAGATGTTCACTCCCTGCCATTGCACTGGCTGTGCTGCCCAGTCTTACTGCCCTTGCAGGTGGAAGATGTCCTGGTCCTTTCTTTTTTCTCCATGCCATTCGTTATTCTGGGCATGAAGTTTCCAGAATACAAAACAGAACCAAACCCCTCTCTCCTCATACTTCCTGAAAAGCTTTATGTTTGATACTTCTAAAAAATGAAAATCGTGTACCACGTACGGCATGATGTCTCTTCTGTTTTTTTATTTAAATGGGCCAGACTATTCCTGGTGAGAATGGATTTGAGTCTTTTGCTCAAACTGTTTATTTCTTGATATACTTGGTAGGCACTCTTGTCCATTTACCTTTGTGGGAGTCGAATGTAATCTCTTGTTGAAATCTGATCATTTATTGGTTAGGCTAAATGACATCGCTCTTTCTCTTCCTCAGACAATGTCAGAAATTCTACTTCATTAATAAAATGGAAAGGAGAGATTTTGGATTATTTTGTACTTAACGTTGTTAACGTTATGGAAAATGTATACCTAGAATGTTACATGATGAAAATGTTTGTGAACTGCTCTTTTTTTAAATGAAGGAAGCATTGGTGAACAGATTTGTTGTTGTTGTTGTTGTTTTTACATCATCCCTGTCTGGGTAGAGGATGTTAAGCCTGCTTAGAATGTAGTTTATTATAGTAAGACATATTTGAGTCTGCTGAGGAAAGGTCAAGGACCTGTATTTTAGGCCCACTTCTACCTCTGGTTAGATTTGGGGTGCAGGCCAATTATTTGACCACAAATAAGTTTCGTCTCCTCTTTGTAAAATAGTGATTAAATTTGCTCACCTACTTTATGAGGCCATTTAGAAAATTTAAGGAGATGCTACATTGTGAAAACTCTGAAAAAAAGAATAGGATGCTAGAGAAACCTCTGCCCTTGAGAAATGTAAAATGCTCTCGAGGCTCCTTAAAGGGAACAAAATTGGAATTTACTTACGAGCAAATAATGCTGATGAGATGCTTCCTTCAGAAACCTTACGTGCTTTTCTGCTGAATTATGGTTTCTCCACGTTCTCTCTCCCTCATCACATTTCCTGGTGGTCTCTGAGGTAGACGTAGACAAGAATAGAGTCAGTTTTTTCTGCAGGAGAAACGACAGCAAATGGACCTCAGTTGTTTGGCAGAGCTCGTTTGTGGTCAGTCTGTTTTGGGCTTGCCCATCGGAAGCTATAAGTGAATGAGAGAAAAGTCACAGGCTGAGGACAGATTGTAAGTTCGGATTGAAAGTGCTTCCTGAGGCCAGGGAACTTGGTTTCTTAATTGCTGCTGCTGTTGAGGAGGGGCTTCTGCCACTTTGCCGAGAAGATGCAGGGATGCCATGATGTGAGCCTAGGCCAAGTCCCTGTGAGGTCAGAAGTTCTTGTATCTATTGAAATTGTTAAGTTGGTTTAAGAAAAAAGTTACTAAGAAATTTTTTTTAATCTTTTTGAATGTCTTAACTAATGCACCAAATCTCTAGATTCCTGTTACCCAGTTTAAAAAATAAAACCATACTCGCGTTTTGGAGCCCTGTGTATCTCTTCCTGACTGCACCTCTCTGTTTTCCCCTCAGAAAGAAACCATTGAATTTAATGTTTATTATTCCCGAACATTTAGCTGCATTGTCTAAAATCATTAAGCTGTTCTTCAAATTTTAGTCGAATGAACATTGTTGTTCCAAACCATTTGAATGTGTATTTTCCTCAGTGTAGGGGAAAACAAAGTGTGCACTTGAGAAAATTCTAAAAGATAATATAAATAGTAATACTGCTAACAGTATAGGCGTATAACCCCACATGTGCTGTACAGGGATCACAGAAAGTTCTGAAGCTCAAAGTTTTTTATATTGAGTTTGATGACAAAACCTGATCTGAACTGATGTGAGTCTTTAAATGGTTTTGGGGGGGTGTTTTTTGATCCCACTCAGTGTGCATTTTCAAAGATTTTGCTGTAGAAAGAGTAATGAATTTGAGTACAGGGTGCTGCCCCAGACTTCTTACAGGGGGTTAAAGAAAATGTGGTATGTGTGTACACCATGTTACTTTTCTAAACTTTTCAAAATCTGAATCCCGAAGCTCACTCCTCTCCAGGGGCCTTGAGGGACCCACATGGACCTTCAGTGACTGTGCAGTGGCAGCTAACAGCTGCTGGGCCCTTGGGAATCAGCTCCATGTCGGTATTCCATCACAGCCTCACCACTTTTGTATGTGCGTTTTACAGCAGACAAACCAATGTAGTCTTTAAAGACCCTTGTGCTTTCTCATATGAATTAAATATGTGGTCTCTGGTGTCCTTCCTGACAATGAAGAAATATCAGAACTTTTGAAACTCATATGTGAACCAAGATGCCAGTAATTGAAGGACACTCGCTCTGAGTTGTCAGTGTAGATGTGTTTCGTGAGATAGTGCCACAAAAATCTTACATAGTTGGTATTCCCTGCAGAGTTCTGTGGCAGTTCTATTTGTGACATTCCTATCACGTGGTTAAAAGCTGAGTGATCATGTAAGAGTAACATGTAAGATCTTTTTCTCCAAGTAAAACAGCTGGAGGGAGGTGAGACCCTTACTGCATAAATAAGAGGTTTGAGTACAGGGTGCTGCCCCAGACTTCTTCTGTTTCAAAATGAAGTATTTAAGAAACCACCATTTTCTCAAGTAGTGAGAAGATGTTTTTCTCACAAGTTTATAGTTCCTCTAGTTCTATCTTTGGATGAGAAACTATCCATAAAGTTTTGTTGTCTACTTAAATTTTACTAGTATTTCCACAGTCTCTTTTTTTCCCCTCATTAAATGAAATATAGCTTCATTTTTCCCTGATGATAAAAGCAATATATATTCATTATGAAAATACAGTATAACAAAGAACATAAAACATCATCCATAATTCCAATACCCAGGTATCTTCCCTGAATTGAATAATTTAACCTTTATATTGCGGGGGAAGGGGTACAGTTTTTATTTTTTCCCCCCAGCCATTTACACAGGGTTTGCTTGTGAACTTTTATATTTTATACTGGTACTGAGAAGAAAGTAAAAATATTTTTTGCTGAAACAAATTCTCTGTCACCCCTCCATACACACAGCCGTGCATGCGCGCGCACACACACACACACACACACACAGTCTTTTTTTCCTTTCTCAAATCGCTGCCAGCCACAGGGCGCCTTTGGAATACTGCCCTGGCTGCTCCAAGTCAGCAAGTCAGGGCTTCACAACAGGCTCCTGGTGGTGGTGGCTGCCAGCAGCAACAATCCTAGAGTTTCTGGGCGCCAACCCAGCAAGCTCCCGGGACCACCGCTGCCAGCAGCCACAGGACGCTGGCTTGCTGGCCCTTTGCTGGCCCTTTCATTCCCTCAGCTACACTGGGAACCTGAGGCTGCTGTTGCCAGGAGACCTACTGGCCTGATGGGCACACAGTTTCTCACTTTCTGGAAAGTCTCTGCCTTCGCTCTGCTGAATTTACATTAGCCTGATTTAAATCCCATATGACCTTTTCTTGGCAGAATCTGTCTTTCAATAGCTCTAATAGCGGTGACCATAGTAATGCTTTAAAAACAAAGGAGAATCACGTTCGCCCTGCTGCGGTGTAACATTTCCCATCCTTTTTTCTGCCTTCCCTTTGACTGATGCCTTAGACAGGTTTCACTACCTTAAGCTAACTTCAGACTTTTTAGTTTGTTCCAATTTCTCTTGAGGGTCCGGTTTGCACAGGGCCGCTGCGGATGCTCGTGCAAAGGACAGGCCTGGGCGGAGCTTGCACTGCTGTGGATGTCCATGGTCTGAGGGGTATGAGCTGAGTCTGTAGAGGAGGGAGAGGAGGAGAGCAGGGACCTCATCTGTGTGTTTATTTCCGGGTCTCCAGCACCCAGAACAGTGTCTAGCTCAGAACAGGCCCACTGTTTGCTGAATGAGTGATTTGAAAACCAGGCCCAGTGCTGGGGGTACAGTGAGAAAGAAGGCAGACCAGATCCCTGCCCTCAGGGAATATTCTAGTGGGGAGATACAAAGTAATCATGTAAAGCACAAATAAAGAAGATAATTTCAGATGGTGACAAGTGAAGGAAAAGGGGAGGCGATGTGGGAGATAGGGGTACTACTTTGGCTAGGAGGTCCCAAGAAGGCCCTTTTGAGGAGGCGACATTTGCTCTGAGTCCTGAATTATGAGAAAGGTACTGAAAACACAAAGATCCAGAGTTCCAGAAACAGCAAGAAGTCTGATGTGTGGCTCGGGCATATTTGAACCAGAAAAGGTGGGTAGGAGATCTGATTGAAGTACAAAACAGGCTAGATTATGCAGAACTTTGAGATGCAGTGAGAGGTCTGGGTTTATTCTTGAGGCAATTAGTGTTTTGAAATGTTTGTGGTTACTTCAGTCCAGTTATCCTCTGAAATGTGAGTCTAAAAGATTACACCCCATTGGTGACCTTATATCTGGTCCAGGTGAAATAATGAAGCAAGACATTTTAATCTACCCCACTTTTGTCTTTATTGCTACTTGCAAGTGAGGAAAGTGAAGGGGAGGGGTAGGGCTCTCAGTAGGAAGTCAGCCAGTGAGCAACAGGAACAGCAATGGAGCAGGGAGTCAGAGAGAAAGGCAGCTGACACTATGAAATAATCAAGCCCTGTACTTATACCTTCTCCATATTATTTCATTTAATCCTTGTAACAGCCTATGGGGATGGAATGATGTCCTCCCCACCCCAGATGGCCATGTGCTAATCCCAAGAACATGTGAATATGTTACGTTATATGTGATTAAGTTGAGGATCTCGTGATGGGGAGAGTAGCCTGGATTAGCCAGTTGGGACCTATCTAAACTCAGGGTCCTAAGGGGCCTTAGGGAGGTAAGAGAGTCAAAGTGAAAAAAGAGAAGGCGTTTGATGATGGTACCCAGGGAGAAGGCGTGGTGATCAGCGGCTCTCAGCCCAGGAGTGAGGACAGCCAGCCTCCAAGGTGGAAAAATGGCAAAGAGACTGATTGTCCCCCAGAACCTCCAGAAAGAACCAGCCCTGCTGTCACATTCCTTTTAGTCCAGTGAGACTGACTTGGGACTTGCGACCTCTAGAACTCCATGTGTGATGTGTTAAGCCACTGCGTTTATGGCAGTTTATTACAGCGGCAGGAGGAAGCTCGTGCCCAGCCCCGTGGCAGACATGTCTCTGGCTCATTCACAGTGAGGCCGTCGAGGCTTAGAGAGGATGCACAATTAGACTATTTTGTCTAACTTCAAATTCACATTTTTCCTATTTCATCAGGCTGTTTTCAGAAGTGAGGGGGATGAGGAGAAGGCTGTGTGGGGGGCAGGGAACTCCTTGGGGCTAGAAGGAAGAAATTAGGGGACTGAAGGATGCTGGGGAGGGGGACTTGGGGTCCATGGGTAGGAAGGGGGTCTCAGTACTCATCTGGCTGAGGGGAGTCCTGTGGATCCAGCCAGTCCTCTCCCGCAATACCTCCCTTAATGCCCCTCGCAGCTTTGGGGCTTGGTGCTGATTTCAGGCAGGAGGTGAGGAGGAGTCCAGGTGGTACTGCCCAGGAGATGTTTCTGATGGATTATGCTGGAACTCTGCAAGCACTTTCCCATGGAAGCTCTTCTTGTAAACTCTTTGTATTGTGAGTGCTCTGTTTCCAGTTTATTGTGAGTTGAATAAACTTGTGGGCTGCCCCGAGAATCTAACTACTATTTATAATAGTATGTCCATAGGAAAATACATTCTAAGTATCCCAAAAGTAAATTGTAGAAGAGCTTTTGGAATGCAGTTTTTTTCCAAGTTTGGGGACAGCCTATAATCTGGTTTTTGCCTAGAATGTTTATACTTAAAAGTATTAAGATGTTCTGGATGTAACTTCCAAAAAGTTCTCTGGGCCCTTTCTTGTTCTAGAATGTGCTTATTAGGTTAAATGTTGTTGGTATTACTTGAGCTGAATGGACTGTGGTAGGAATGAGTTTTTTTTTTTTAATGCAGAAATTTTGATGTTGGGGGCAGTTCTATATTCTGGTCTCTCCCTGGCTGATTCTGTATAGTTCGTTTTATTGTAGTGATTTTGCTGAACTGCAGCTGTCGACTCTTAAGTAAAACTTTCACTATTTGCTGATGACATGATACTATACATAGAAAATCCTAAAGATGCCACCAGAAAACTGTTAGAGCTCATTAACAAATTCCGTAAAGTTGCAGGATACAAAATTAATACACAGAAATCTGTTGCATTTCTATACAACATTGAAATATCAGGAGAAATTAAGGAAATAATCCCATTTATCTTTGTTTCAAAAAGAGTAAAATACCTAGGAATAAACCTACCTAAGGAAGCAAAAGAGCTATATTCTGAAAACTGTAAGATGAAAGAAATTGAAGACGACACAACAGATGAAAAGATGTACTGTATTCTTGGATGGGAAGAAGCAATATTGTGAAAATGACCATACTACCCAAGGCAGTCTGCAGATTCAGTGCAATCCCTGTCAAAGTACCAGCAGCATTTTTCACAGAACTGGAACCAAAGCATTATAAAATTTGTGTGGAAACACAAAAGACCCTGAATAGCTAAAACTGTCTTGAGAAAGAAGAATGGAGCTGGAGGAATCACGCTCCCTAAGTTGAGGCTGCCGTTTGCAAGCCTGCTTTAACGGTCTCCCTCCGCAGCTCTTCACCAAGTTGTTGCCCTTCATTTCTTTTCAGCTCGTATTCTTCAAGCTGCTTCCAGTTTGTTTACTTGTCCCTTGCGATTGGTAGTAGGAATGGAGAGGCTGAAGAAAGAAAAAAAGAGCTTGAGGAATATTTTGCTTCGTACAAGCTTTCTTTCCTTCGTAATTTGCATCAAAAGAAGAAAGACCATGTGGTATCCTAGGCCATTTTACTAATGCACCTGTTTCTCTAGGGCTGGGCTCAGGCAGCACACTGTGTGTCACTATGTATACATCTAAGTGAAGATGATTACAGTAAAGTTGAATTATTACCTAGGATTAGATTTTTAAATTTTCAAATGGAAAGTCATATATGTCAAAGTTGCCCTTGAAAATTCTTGTTAGGGGTGAGAAGAAACAAGGACATAAATATAGAGCCCAGAGTTGGCTTGGCCTTGGGGGATTGACTGGAAATACTGGATTTGTGTTCAAGGGGAGTATTTGCAGGGACACAAAAGTTATCTAATGTTTGGTTTGCTGATGTGGCAGCCCTGGCAGGAGCAGCTCCGTCTTGGGTCTAGAAATTTATTTCAGCTTGCCTTTCACAACTTCCAAATCTCAAGGAGTAAATGGGGAATGGGTGGAGAATTATATGTTTCTGTTTGCTTGCAAGGGTTTATTCTGTTATGTTTTTCATGGTAAACTTTTGTAGCCTTAATATATGTTAATCAGTTTGTTCTAAGGATTAAGTGAGATAATCTATGTGAAAATTAACAGGGACAGCAAGTAGTAGGTGTTTAGCAAACGTTTGCTGGAGTTGACTGAATGTCATAGGTGGTATCACGGCTTGCTGATCAGTTTCTTCCTATGTTTTGGCGTTTTGTACACAATTAGATTTTTCATGGCTGAAATAGGAGATAACAATTATTCTTTCTTGCCTGGGTGTTCTTAGGATGAATTGAGTGATGTTATCGATATTAAGGATCCAGATTTCACTCCTGCAGCTGAACGAAGGCAGAAACGCCTGGCTGCTGAGCTGGCCAAGTTTGACCCTGATCATTATCTGTGAGTATTGAGGGTTTTTGTTTTTGTTTTTGTTTTTGTTTTTTTGCAGTGGGGTGGAGGTAATCAGGTTTATTTATTTACTTACTTTTTTTAGAGGAGGTACTGGGGGTTGAACCCAGGACCTTGTGCATGCTAAGCATGCACTCTACCACTTTGAGCTATACCCTCCCCCCAAGTATTGAGGTTGTTTGAGGATGAAATAATTTACTTGACATTTAGTATTTAACAGAATTTTGAGTGTCTTTTTAACTATGTTAGGATGCACCTTTTTTTTTTTAAGGCATATGCTTTTTGAATTCTAGAAACTAGTGATGGCTCAAAACCTTAAATGACGTTTGAGTTAACCTACAGTTGCTATACGTGTATGATCTTCATAAGATATTATTTCTCAGAATCTCATTCCAGCACCAGAGAAGTCTCTTCATATACTTCTTTGAGTTTCCTTCTCACCAGGCTTAAAAATAGAACACTGCATTCATGAGACTATGTACCATTCTTTTCAGAATACTCTCTGTTGTGAATGATGGTATAAATAAGTGAAAATGTCTCTCAATTTCTTTAAGAATGTGAATCCAAATGTCCCATGTTTCTTGGCCATTGCAGGGTTTTCCCAACATTTTTGTCCAGTAGCACCTGTAATTAAGGATCTGTTTCAAAATATCCAATAATTATTCACTGGGGTAGGGAATAATAAAATCCAATTTTAAGTTTTTCTATGTTTCCCACCTGCATTGATTGTGTCTTTGGCCATCACGCATCTCTGGCAGGCTTATATTTGCCTATGGAACAAATCTGATTAATGGACAGGGAAATAATCACTTGAGGGGGAATTTTGATGTCTCTCATTGGCTACGACAACAGCTCTTCTTCCAAAGAAGTGATTGTCCCCAGGCCTCTTGGGTGCTTGCCTTTCTGAGGATGTGAGTGGTGTTTTGATGTAGACCTCAATTATCATTCTTCCCAAGCTCTGGGCCAACAGTTTTTGAACTGTTATATATACAGCTATAATCATCATACTCTCTTAGGTTTGTATACTGGTTTCAGCTTACCAAGTGCTCTCAAAGGATTATTTAATTCAGTTTTCACAACAGCTGAGGAAAGGAGGTTAAGGGACTTGCCCAAGGTCACACCACTACTAAGTGGCTTGGCCTGTACTTGAAAAGTCTTTCCATTTGTCATTTTGTGTTTGCTTTTCATGTACACTATTTCAGTTTAACTGCTGTTGCTCTTGTGATTAACAGTCTATCTCCTGTGACACAGTGGGAGACTAATTGGAATGGCAGAAATGTGTCTTGTGATGTGCAGATGCACTGAGTGATGTGTAGTGATGAGTGGTGGGGACTGTTCAGCACCCTAAGGGAAACTGGGTAAGACTGGGTATGTTACATTTTGGAGGACATCTGAGAAATTCCACTTCATTGCCATTGCCATTTCTAATTACTTTTATCTCTCCAACTGTGATTTTGAAGGTCCACTGAAGAATAATTTGAAGAAACCTATTTAAAATCATGCTGAATATTTAAAGTGGAAATTTCATTGTCAGCAGATTTCCTGGACAAGCATGAAAACAGAATGAGCTTTACAAGACTGAAATTTCAAGTGGGAGGGAGCTTAGTTAGCACAACTGCCTATCTCTTCTAAACTAGGAAAATAGCTATATGGCCTGAGAGAATTAAGAAATTGGAATTTACAGTTAGCAGTGTGATATTATAAGCAGCCCGTATTTTTCTCTGTCTTCTGTTTCTTTACCTAGAAGCACACTTCCTTTCGTAGTATGCATGAAATATTATTGCACTTCTAAAGGAAGAGTTGTTCTTAAACCGGTGGTTTAAATTTGGTCACGAGCAAGTTGGAGAGTGGGAGTCCTGAGGGGAAAGTTCTTTGTGACTTTCCTGGTAGGGATAAGACTTTGGCTAATTGTAATTTTTGTGTTACTCATTATTTATAGGAGCTGACTGACTCACCTAAATGTATTATATTAAAGGAAGGGCGAGTTAAAATTTTTTAGCTCAGTGCTTTTTTGTTGTTCTTAACGGTTAATACGGTAGAAGAAAAGGTTTACTTTAAACTCTTATCTGCTATGCAGACCATGCATTGCATGTATTATATTACACATTTGTATATGTGCATGGAATATGCATGTGTGATATGCATGTGCAATACATAACACATTAGCTATTATGTTAGTGTAATATAGGACCTTTTCAAGTTGTTTGTCTTGTCCTTCAAAGTCATGTGTCTTCATGTTGTCAGGTTTTTCAGGAGCTTGAGGAAGACTAATTTTAATTTCACCCTAAAGCACAACATAGTGAGGTAAATTGATTATATACAAAAATTTGTATGTTTCAAAGGCACATATAGATGGACCTGAGATTATTATTATTTTTAAAATCATTTGTTGTAGAATCTGGATGCCAGTGTATGCTTTTCCCCCACTTTGTTTTGCAGCCCAGCAGAGTACTGGGCATGTAGATGATCCATAAACAGTTATTTTTTAATTATCCATTTCTTGCCATTTATAATTCCTTTCGAATATTATTTTTACAATAAAATACATTGATGACATCTTGAAACACTTCTTAATAGTCCTTCCTCTTTTGCTTATTATAGCTAAGTTTTCATATTTCTCATGCTGAATGTGGTGTTTTTTTCTTTCCCAGGAAATTGTTTTTTAATTGTTGGCATATTTTTTATTTCAACCAGTTCATAGACTCTCACTTATTTCCTTCTTTAGGAAAAAAATAATTTAGCCAACATTCAAAATATCTATGAGATAAGAAAAGGGCCAAGATAGCATAGCATTTGGGGGTTCTTTTTTTGGAATAAGAGAAGGCCCTCTTTTATTTATTTTTTATTGAGGTATAAATGACTTACAATATTATGTTAGTTTCAGGTGTGCAACATAGTGATTCAAAATTTTTATGGGTTATACTCCATTTAAAGTTATTATGAAATATTGGCTATATTCCCTATGCTATACAATATATCTTTGTAGCTTATTTATTTTATACATAGTAGTTTGTACCTCTTGATCCGGGTGCTATATTAAACTGTAATTTACAGTGCTATATATTTATTAAAGAAGTTGGTATACTGATCAGGCTTCTGGATTTACTGAGGAGATTTCAGAATGACAAGTAGTAATTATAAGGCTGAGAAGAGAATCACCTACTTTCAAGGTGGAGTTTTATTCAAAATATCAGGCTTAGAAAAAAAGCACCGGAATAAAATGTCGTTTATTCAGTCTTTCATTTATGCATTTACATGTTCAACAGATACTTGTTTGGGTGACTTACGTGCCAGGCAGTGTTAAGTCCCTTCATGGGCCTTACTCTAGTGGGGAAGGAGATGGTATTTTGATTGTGTTAAGTGCCCTGAAGAAAAGCCAGGTTAAGGGTTTAGAGAGTGACTGGGCGTGTCACCGACCCCTCTATTTCAGCATATTCAAAATCTAACTCGTCATTTTACCTGTAAAGCCTTCCCTGAATTTTCTGCTTGGTGAGGTGCTTTGTTTTTCATCCCAGTCACCCAGGTAAGAAACCTGGGATTCATCTTTGTCTTCTTTCTTATCCCATACTTCCAGTCAATCCTGAAATTGTACCCTTTATCTCTTTATTCTTTCCTTCACTCTGTCTGTTCCTGACCCTCATCTGTGTCTGGCTTATTGCAGCTGCCCCGCTGGCCTCTCTCACTGCAGCCTGCACTTCTGCAGGTCCATCAACCATAAAGCCACCTGCGTGATGTCTTAGGTATTAGATGTGAAAATCTACTTAAACCCTTACTGGGTTCTCCTTTGCTTAAAGCGTAAGCTCCTAACTTCTTAACATAGAGTAGAAAGTTCTCTGTGATCTGAACCCTGCCTGCCTTTGTAGCGGCTCTTTTCCTGTCCCCTGCCCACGTGTCACTCTACAGCAGTAATGAATGTGTGCAGCTCCCCACCTGTACTGTTCTGCTTTTCACACCCTGTTTACTCCTGGTATCCTTTTGCCAGCTGTTTTCTTCCCCTGTCCTGCTTTCCCTGAATAACTTTTACTTATCCTGTAAGGCTGGGCTCACCCCCAGCAGCCTTCCTTCCAGCTTGGCCTAGGACGTGCTCGTGTGTTATAGCTCATCTTGTTTTTACCGCATCGTTTTATAACATCCTGTGTTTGTGTCTGCGGCTCCCATTAGGCTGTGGAGTCTGGAAGGGCAGGGAATGAGTCTTCCTGGTCTTCACCTTCCTGACACCGCACGTAGAAGGCACTCGGTGAATGTTGAATTAATGGCATTTAAAAACTTGAAGATAATTTATTCTGGAAAGTAGAACATCCATCAACTTCAGATCTTGGGTGGTATAAAGAATAAACCATCACTGTTTAGATTAGGGACTGTATTAGTGAGATTTTGCTCCAAATAATCACTTAAAACATTTTGAAATTTTTTGGTAGGGGGCATGAAGATACTGGTAGAGATACTCTTTTACAAAACCATTTCCCCCCCACGATTTGTCTCCTAGGGGAGAAAGCAGCATCTTTTCAGATGGACTTTGCTTCCTTCTATCCTTGACTTAAATGTCCTCGGTGCTCCAGCATTCGACCCCCTTTTCTTGCACTATAGCGGGTTCTCCCTGGGCGATTCCCTCCTTTTTGGCCTCAGTAGCTGTCTAAATGCTTGTGACTCCCATGTCTCTCTCTTGAGCATCAGATTTGCATCTCTGACTGCCTGGTGGACAGGTCTCTGTATGTCCTCCAAGGGCACCTCAAGCAACCTGTCCCAAGCAGAAGCCACTCCCTCTCCACTCATGTCTGTTAACATCCCGTACTCCTGTCTCTGCAAAGGGCACTATCGTTCACCAAACTGTCAAGGCCAGAATCTGGGGCAGCCGCCTGACCGTGACAAATATTGATATTGAGAATTACTGTTTAAAGATAATTGCTGTTTAGTTTTGTTCAATATGTACTTTATTTCCTCAGTCATAAAAATAGAGTGTTTATATTGGTTAATAGCTTGGATTCAGGCTGAAACTTAAGTTAGTATAAATCTTGGCCACACTTCTTACTGGTTCTTTGACCTTAGCCACAGTATACCACTTTTCTGACCCTCAGTTTCCATCCATGTAAAGGGGAGTATTAATACCAGCCCCTGCCTGTGGAGGTGGTGTGAGGATTCAAGGAAATAATGGATAAAAAGCACTTAATGCAGCGCTTGGTACATCAGAAGAACTAAGTTATCTATGATCTTTCTAATTTTAAAAAGATATCAATATCTCAGTTGAAAGAAAAAAATATTTAAGGTCATAAAACTGTCAGCTAGAAAATCCAATTTATCAAAACAACCACTGCCTTGAGGTTCTAGTTAACTGAAGTATAAATAAAATTTCCACCATGAGTTATACTTTTTGGTCATTTTCCTCCCAAGAATACCAATTTCAAGTGTTGAATGCAAGATAGTATAGTTTCTGAAACAAGTGTCCCCCAAGAGTATATTTTGAATGTAACAGTTATTTTTTTTAGTTAAAACTGAGAAAGTAAAGTGCAGGAAAATTTAATTTTCTGTCCCTACAAAGGATGCTTTTTATCTTTTGCAGTAGTTTTAAATTAAGTTACTATTAAGTTTATCATAGCTAAATAAAATAGATTGCATCGTGGTAGGAAACATGAGTGCAGAGGCTAAAAAGTAAGGTATGTACGTGTGTGTGTGTGTGTGTGTGTGTGTGTGTGTGAGTGTGAGACCTCTGTGGATATGTAGTAGCTTAAACATTCTCCTCATGTGTGTGTGTGTGTGTGTTTTTTTGTTGGTGAAGTTAAAAGGTTCTTTCCTTATCAGTAGTCTAACCCAGATCTGGGATGTTTGCAAATCTTGCACAAGTGCCAGGCTTCAGTCCGTTTTGTGCTCAGGTTCTCTTCACCCCACATGGCTGTGGTAGAGGGCATGAAACTTGAGGGTATGACAGGTCTTCCCCGTACCTTCTGTCCAAAGAGATCCCGAAGTCAAATAGCCCTTTAATCTGATGATTACTTTTCACTTTATGACAATTAGTAACCACAAAGAAAGTAAATAGAGTGTTTAGTCTTTCCTCAAAATGTACTTTGAATTAGTCTGTATTTCTAGTGCAAGTGTGATGAGGTAAGGTAAAATTTTAAAAAGTGAAAACCAGCCCATTTCTATGTAACCAGCCCCTTCAATATTTTTCTTTCCCCAGAGCTGACTTTTTTGAAGATGAGGCAATTAAACAGGTTTTGGAGTATGATCCTTGGTGGACTGATACATATTCGAAAATGATGGCCTCTATGGAAAAGAGTCAGGAGCAAGAAAATCTTGCTGCATTAGGTAAGAAACTGAAAGGCAGACTTCTTTGTTTACCACCTTTCCTACAGACACAATTATAATTACCTCAGAGAGTGAAGATAATATTTTGGTTTGCCAATTTTGGAAATCTGGTCTTCACCCCAGGCTGGGAAGTGCCATGCAATATTTGTCCTGGAAAATTCTTTTGAAGTGTGTTTTACTTTTGCATCATTGGGGTCCTTTTAAATTTTTTTATTTTTTATGTTTTTATCAAATTTAGAGACATTAACACAGGACATTTGTAGTTGCTGGATAATCTGCTGGGGAGATCTGAGTGTTCCTCTGTGGTAAGGGCATTTGAGTATTAGTAGTGGTGACGAAAGACCCAGCTTTCAATCCCTTTGTCTGTTGAGTGAATTTGATATGTTCTCCCCAGTGTTTTCACAAGTGGTTCTGTGTGGAAACAGGAATAGTTATCTTCTCTTCTGTACCTTAGAGAGAACAGGCGGGCCAGTTTTTACCAGTGAAGACCAAGCTGGGGAGTTCTGTGGGCCACAAGGGATGACTGCGCCTTATTCAACATTAAGCCAAATGTTATACACACAGTCGTTTCTTACATGGGCCTTTTATGACCACTTCTCTAAGTGGGAGGGTGCTATGCTAAGTCTGTGCATTAGAATTATAAACATTTCAGGTAGATCAGGAATAGTGGGCCAGTGTTTTCTGTTATACTAATTTGGCTTTTATTTATGTATTAGAAATATCACAACTAGACTTGTGATATGGTAATCACTTTGTAGTATACACAGATGTTGAATTTTAATGCTGTACACCTGCAAATTATATAATAAAACATGTGTATTAAAATAAAAAGTATTTACCCTATGCATTATTTGAGAATGACCAATTTTGCTTTCAAAAAATTTTTCAGTGTTGTAATGAAAGGAATACACACACACACACACACACACGACACACACATTAAATGGAATATAGAATCTCCCCACTCTAAATTCCTCTTCCTGAAAGTCATCACTGTTAACAATTTGAGGTATTTTTAATGCAGATACCCACATCTAAATGTTTGCTGTAAGAAATGTATACACCCAGACTCATATACACTCTCTCCTTAACGTTGCTCTCTCCAGTTTGCAGTGTATGTTGCACGTCTTCCATCAGCACTTACAGTTCTACCCGAAGCTTGTAATGCCTGCCTAGTATTCGGTTGTATGTTTGTATCATGACTGGTGGACATTTGGGCTGTTTACTGCTGATGGGTGTTCAGGTTATTTGCAGGGTTCTGCGGTGGTCTTCTTCTATGACCACTCATTCCGAAGGAGCTGGAGGGTCTCTGTTGCCTCCCGATATCTTGACTCTCTGTATAGTAAGGCAATAACTTTCTGTTTGCTCTCTTTCGAGTGTCTAGTGGAGTCTGTATTATATAACAGGTACTCAGTAAATATTTATAGAACAAATAAAAATTGCAGCAAGTATTTTTGTAGTTCGGTTTTGTTAGAGTTTAGGTGATCTCTGTCAGGCTGACAAATTGCCACTGTAATTCTTTAGAATTGACTCGACTGCACAACAGAAACTCATAAGTAACGACTCTTGTTACATTGTTTTCAGCAAGTTCTTGGCTTCATATTTGATTTAAGATTTCCCACATCATGTAGGCAGATTTTCAGGTGTGGGATTGCTACCACGATTTAGATAGTTAACTGTATATGCTCTGTAGATCTGCTCAGAAGGTTTGCTCACACTTTCATCAGGGCTCTACTCAACTGAATCAGTTTCCCCAGTTTGGGTGCAGTATTTTAATGAAGTGGTCTGGGAAGCAAGTGGTGATTGTGTAGTTAAGTTTTCTGTCCACAAGGGTGAGCTAGTTGCCCTAAAAATCGAGACAAGGCATCACCTTTGATTTAAAATTTTAACTTGCTCTGCTTTGATCAGTTGTAGCTTGTTTCAGGTCCTGTTTTCTGTGTCAGCCGTGCTTTGAGTTGGTTCTCTCTGTATAATTTTAACAAAAAGTTAAGCCTGTCCATGCTTTTAACCTCTGGCCCTCCTGACCCTTCGTCTTTATCTGACCCGTGGTGTATATCCAGAATGGTGCTTCAGGCACGGTCATAGTCTGCTAAGCTATTCATTCTAAAAATCACCTTTAAAAATAGCAGAAGCACTTGATAAAGGTAGAACAACTTGAATTCTGTGTTGTGCAGAAAGTACCTCCTGTAAATGAGCCAAGTAGGGGGTGATGCATAGGATAGAAGGTAAATATGGGGCTCAACGCCTTGTGTATCCAGCTGTGTGGCTTTGCAGCTTCTCTGTGTTGCTGTGGAAATCCTGTATCTACCTCGCAGAGTTGTCATGAGGATTGAACGAGAGGATGTGCTGAAAATCCTTAGCATATTGTAAATGTTAGAAATTATCCTTATAGATTAAAGCAGTGGCAGGAGAGCCAGGAATTGAGTGGCTTCCCTTTGAAATTACAATTTTTGTACATTTACACAGCTTTAAGGAGAAGTTCTTTGTTAACATGATTCCTCTTTCAATTTTTTTTTCTTGTTCAAATATTTGAGACACTTAGAATTGGAGGCATAAATTGAAATGTGTTGAACCAGGATCAAATATGGGAGAAAAGAAGTAAACCAAAAAAATAAACCTTAAAGTCCTCAGCTCACTCAAGCAGCCTGCTGCTGCTGCAGTTTCCCCCTCCCTCTCCTTCCTCTTATTTCTTCTTTGCCTCCCAGGCCTCCTTCCTCTCTGTAACTGCAGTGGGACGTTGCCAGGCAGATACAGCAGTGCAGGTGAGGGGGTGCACCTTTGATTTCCCCTGATCATAAAATGTTAATCTGGATTGTTTTGCTTTCCAGATAAGCCTTAGGTGGTGAACTTTGCCCCCTGCCTTTGCCTTAGTTATGATTCTTGTTCTTTTCAGTGTGGCCCTGAGTTACAGCACAGAGACTTTATTTGATGTCTTCAATTTTGTAATGATCCGATCCTCCTCCCCAAAGGCTTGTAAATGGAAGTGTTAAATGCTCTGCTCCCACTGAGCTCTGGTTTCACGAGGATGGACTTACACATTCCCGATGTTGTCTCTCCGTGGTTAATCTCGGCCCAGGAATCTTGGCACATGATGGCTTGTTATGACACCACATAACGTTTATAGTCAGTGAACTTCCTAGCGGGGACATCCTGTTTGGCACCAGTGTTTGCAGAGCTGTCAGTGTCAGCTCTGAAGGCTGCAGTACAATGGGGCTACTCGTTTAAGCCAGGGGTTTGAATGCAGCACATTTTTTCCCGATTCCCTTGGTTTGCTTTCAGAAAGTGTACACTGTAATAGGCTTACATTCTTTCTTGAGGAGCCAGATCAGGGATGATTTAATTGTTGATCCACAGAAGACAGGGATGTTTGGGAGCAGGGGTTAGACAGAAGGGGAGATTTAAAAGTAACAAAACTAGACCATGTTCTAAATGAAGTGACAAGGTCACTTTCCATTGTGATGGGAGCCTCTCGGCAGTCCTCAAAGGTATTGAGGAGTTTTTAATGTTGGGGGTGGTCTTGGGCCATTTGCTTCAATGTTAGGGCACCAGTTTCTTCCCCAAATGAACTGAGCTTTCAGCTGGCTTTTGTTTGACTGTAGATTATTTATAGAAGTATAATTAACCAGAATGTTGTGAACTATATAGCAAAGCTGCTTTGTTGTAGAGCAAAGTCATACAAATGCTTGACAAATGTTCCTCGTGGTGGCACTCATCCAAGTACTGCTGGCACCGCGTCCGTGGTTATTTCCAGTGCTGCTGCTTGGTTGGACCCAATTGTGTGCAGACCTCCCCAAGTTCCCCTTCGGGTGATATGATTTACAGCTCTAATAGAAAAGGCCTTGGGGAGCTCAGGCTTTTTGGTTTCTCTAGTGGTTGCTCTCCTGTCTGTTATTGTTATTTATTATTTCTGGTTTCTTTGCTCGAATTTCAGAATTTAAATACTTCTGTGTATTGTTAATGAGCCGCTTAGGCCAAAATGGAACTCAAAAACACTGAGAAAAAGGTGGTGGCATCTTAAGGGAAGGCTAGGGGCACCAGCATTCAAAAATTCAGAGGAGTACGTTCAAGTCAGCTTTCCCTGTGTAGACAGTCTTGGAAAGTGACCTGTGTGTCACAGGTGGCAGCACTTACTTGCAGGTAATGTAACATCAGAACCTATAGTTCCCAGATCAGCCTTTAGAAATCATTGAGCATATACATGTGTGATGACTTAAGAGTCAGGAATAAACATATGGATGAGCTGATGTGTTGTTAAACGGCTCTGGGCATGCTTACCTTGTGATTCAGAATTACATGCAAGCAGAAGTCTTTATTAGCCAACTAGGATATAAAGTCTTTTCTCTGGTGAGAGACTGTCATCGTGAACACCTGGCGCTTTCCTGTTAGCTAAATTAATGAACGGCTCAAAAACTGTACCTAAGGGAATACTGTCTCAAACCTTGCTAGTACTAGGGGTCTTAAAATATTTTGTCAGGTACGCTTTCTTCATGCAATGAAGAAATAAATGTTCCTTCTTACCGTTTCCTTAGATCAGACTTCTTTAAGTGAATTGAGAGTTTCTATTTAAATTAAGAAATCTTCCTATAAGCCCTTTAGTGGGACAATCAAAACCCAGTTTATTGGTTATATGAATTTCATTTTTAAATGTCAGTCTTTAAAGAATGCTTCACCTGACACTTGCCTGCGTTGAGTTTAAAAATACATGCATTTCTTTATGTTGCTGACCAACAGATTAAATAAATGTGGTCTCACAGTTATTTGTTGTTTATGTAAGCAATGTTTGTACAAATACATTTGAAAAAAATTTTAAACATAGGATTTTTAACATGATTGAAATAGTAATTATGTTTTATATAAAAATGTGGGGTTTTTTTATACTAAGTGTATTTTAGTGAATGAAGGGATATTGCTTCTAGTAATTTCAAGTAAGTGTGTTTAAGATCCCCCCCCCCCCCCCAGAGGGCAGGCTGCAAAAACCTGCTGGAAGGAAGCCTTAAAACAAAAAGAAGCCACATTGTACTTCAGGCTCCTAGGAGAGCTCGGAAGTGAGTTTGGAAAGCCATCTGTGAACAGGGGCCCTTGTGTGGGAGTGATCAGACTCTTCCTCTTGGCTTTTGCCCAGTTGTGAAGAGCAGAGGGGCAGTCTTTTGTGGAACTGAGACAGAAAGGGACTGGGACTTGACTAGCCATTAAGAGAGTGGTTTGGGAATATTAAAAAGGCAGTTTAATAATTTTTGGTCTCTGAGAGGGCGTTGGAGATAGCCAGGTGTCTTTTATTAATCCTGCTGCCTTAAGAGGAGGCTTCCTGAGTTAGAGTGGGGCCCATGCCTGCTCAGCCAGCGACCCCATTGCCTGCCTTTCCTTCCTTGCCACCGGGTGTGGTCACGAGGCCGAGTCCTGGATGATGGGGAGTCAGTGGGAGTGCTGTGCTCTCTTTCTGGATCACATCCTCCTCTTCTGCTTTCCCATTGGTTAGAAAATGTTAAAAACCTGGAGCAGCATCTTGGGCCCATAGATGGAAGTCATATGGTGGAGACACTGATGCCCACCAGTCCTGGACAGTTCGCTCAGGGTGGTAGAGTGAGGGAGAAACTTCTGTGTCACTGAAGCTACTGTATTTTGGGTCTGTTTATTATAGCAGTTTAGCCTGTCCTTACCTAGATGGAATGGACAATTCTAAAATCTGGAGGAAAAGGCTTCCGAGTTATTTTGGTGTTACTTTGATATGAATCATTGGAACTGGAAACTGAGTGCTCTTTACTGGGCTCACAAACTTGTAAAGTGAATTTGAAAGTGATTGATAGGAAAATTAAGAATTACTTTGCAAGGTAAGAGATTGGTACCACTCTTCTTTAGAAGTAACAATATATCTAGATGCCTAAGTTTCTTTAAAAATTGCTTTAAGAAGGTAGTAGGCTGTATTTTATTTATACTGGCTGGGAACTCAGCACATCTATGAAAGAGCTGTTACTCTCAGTAAATCTTGCTCTAAGACAAGATTTTAATTTTTTGTGTGTATATATATTTTATATTGAAGTATAGTCATTTTACAATGTGTCAATTTCTGGCATAATGCTTCAGTCATATATAAACATACATATATTCATTTTCCTATTCTTTTTCACCATAAGTTACTACAAGATATTGAATATAGTTCCCTGTCCTATACAGTGTGAACTTGTTGTTTATCTATTTTATGCATATTAGTTAGTATCTACAAATCTTGAACTCCCAATTTATCCCTTCCCACCCTCTTCCCCCTCTGGTAACCATAA